TGGCTAGTCGTAGCACAGGCTCCACTTCTAAAAGATCCACAACAGCAGGTTTGAACTGATTTTACATTGTTCATTGTTGGATGCAAGTACGTATTTATTTGGCACTGACTTGTCTTGATTCATCAACAGGTAGCAAGGTTGGCACTTCTGTATACTTGGACCTGGCTTACCTTCCGTCGAGCCATGCAGTTTCCACCGTTGATGTTGAGTTTTTTGGCCGCTTGCGATCATCGTGTTACATAATAAGTGGGGATGACACACTCAAGGAAGGCCTGATGAGGTCCATTCTGGACGCATTATTAGAGGGAAAATCTGTATGGCCTGAGGATGTGCCGGTATGTATGAGTAGATATATGCAACATAATTCAGTTTAGGTGCACTACAGAATTCTGGCCTCTCTATCACAATCTGTGGTTAATATATAAAAAGTTAATTGTAGAGTTGTTTTTTTTATGTTTAGCCACTTTCTTATGTTTTGCATAACATTTCTACACGTATAGGTATACCTGTGGTTGCCTGAGAACACCATATAACAGCGGACCCCCAATAAATCTGTTGCTTTAAAATCTACTACATTTTTAGAGGGATAATGTCACATACTTAGTCTGTATTACCTTCCAGGTGACCCTGATTCCCACATTTGAATCACTGATGATGCATGAGTGGTACCAGGAAACCCAAGAAAAACAACAGCAACTGGGAATTACAGTCCTAGGAAGCAACAGCACTGTGGCTATGCAGGAGGAGACATTCCCTGCTTGTAAAGTAGAGTTCTGTTAGATGAAAAGTAAAGACACATGTTTTACATTTTTTTCATTTGTGTATCCCATGCTTAAAGTCACACATTAACATTTTTACCACTTGTATGTTCTTAGCAAATGTTTTATCAAACTACATATATTGTGTTTGTGAAAGATTCCTTAGTAGGCGGCTGAGGCCTAAAATACACAGTAAAATCACAAGTATTAAATCAACACCCATACATGTATTTACTCTAGGAGTATAACTGTACTGGTTTATTATTAAGAAGAGTATTTACTAGATTCCCACTTTGCAAAAATAGTTGTAATTAATGTCGGCATGAAACTGAAGTAGCGATTGTCTTTTTTTCTCTACTGTGACGTCTATCCAAGTGAAACGTCATCTGAAATGAGAGGGTGGGACTTGATTGGATCATTGGAAGTTGGGGCATTGCTAACAAAATGGAGGCAGATCTGAATG